AAGTGTGCCCAGAAGTGGAGATCGGCAATGTAGTAGCGACACCGAAGTGGATAAGAGTGTACTGAGAAGGCCTGGGCGTACTGACGAATTTTTCGATTGGGAAACCGCGTTGCAGGTATTGGTTAAACGCCGTGGTGAGTGTACGAGTTTCGCAACGGGAGACTCTTCGAAAAAGTTGATACCATTGTCACTCATCGAGTTCTATCCTTTCCCACTCATTTGAGAGCCTAAATATCCCAGTTTCGCTTGGACGCCCAGCGTATTTTTCCAGTTACATAGCTTATACCCTCTTGAGAGTGCGGATCCCGACGTTACACCTGTGACACCAGGAGGCAAACCCACTCCAAAAACAAACAATATTCCCGAATTTAATGGTTAGATTTTAATCGATAAACAACCGAGGAGAACATCTGCTCACAACAGAAGGGTTACCAGTACCACATCAAATTTTGAAGGTTTCGACTTCCGAGCCTATAAATACTTTTCTGTGGACTCATAAACGAAAGAACGTCCTAAAAATCATCGATTGGAGAGGGTGGATTGACGATTAATCTTATCGAAACATTTCAAATGGCTACTACCTGGAAGGTCGATGATCCTTGCCATTTCAGGAAATGGTAATGATAGCAAAGAAGGAAGGATCAAAGTTCCAGCATTCGCCACAAGTAGTTTTATCTCAGTGTTGTTATCGCTATGACTTCGAGAATGGTCGGCTGCTGCCAAGGCCGCGATGAATAAGGAATCCCAAAAACTCATTCACCAAAGCAGTTGATAAAGTTGCAGGACAGATAAGTTCATGAGTATTGGATTTACCCATGACGTTTGAATTCGCAAGAGTTTCAAATTCAACGAAGTAATTGACCCATTGCAATCATTTCGAACTGGAAAACTTCTCCTTATCTTAAGGAGGGGTATTCGAGATCTCTTTGCACAATACAGATCAGCGTGACTTGTGCAAACAAGACAGATGGTAGAACTAACCTGTCAGAGGAATAGTAGGTGTGTACCTTTCCGTTTATGTACTCAATGCTCAACATCTGGGGCTCCCGTCGTGATCGAATCAGTGCGAATACCTAAATGAGAATAAAGTGCGGGAGTGCTATGAAGTGTCCGATTCTTTCAGTTCCGCAGAAGAAAGTTATTAAATCTATTCCATAGCTTATAATCGTATCATACTTTTTTCTCTACCAGTTGTCTTTACATTTCAAAGTTGGACTGCACTGGCTAATCTTTGGGTGAAACCCTGTATGATCTTCCTCCCACAGAAAGTATAAGCTACTTTCCTTGGATGCTTCAATGCAACAGGTTGAAACTTTCCGGTGTCTTTAATCACTTTTACCTACACTCAAAGGCAGTAGATATATGAATGTTTCATAAATGGACCCTCATACCTTAAATTTCAGCTTTTACAATCTGTAATCAGTCATTTAAAAACAAACAAAAAACATTTGGGGTAGCAAAGAAGGTTGAGGTGAGCAAATAGTTTACGGCTATTCCTTCAAAAGTTGGAAGATGAATTAAATAGGTGCCAAGATGTAGACCTATAGAATACTTCGAAGTTAGGAGATTATGGAATATCATACAGGACCTCTATTTTTCAAGCCAGCGTGAGTAAGTGTGCAACAACTGCAGGTACGCCGAGAAAAACACAAAATGGGACTGCACCACTAACGCAACTTTCTGATCAGATATCTCGTCTCCGGATCTAATGGCAAATTTTTGATGATCGCAAAGGGAAATTTAATACGCCTTGTATTGACCATTAGTCAACCCTCTAGTACACGAAATTGCAGTCTATTGCATACATTGCTTTTTTTGCATTCCAATGCCTCATGGCAAGACCCAAATGGCTTAAGGATGGCATGCACTAATAACACCGTCAAGTCCTTCCCGTGATTAAAGGGTTTAGTGGTAATTAGAAAAACGGTGAATAATTACTTCACATAGTGGTTGAGCTGATATTGGCCTATATGAGATTGGATCGCGTTCAACTAAAAGACAATCCGTCAGACAGAGAGTTCTCGAAAGTGGTGGTGCACCGCTGCCATGACGGTAAGGCGCAACCTTCTGTAACACAAACTCCGCCGTCGATATCATATTCTCGGGCCTATTAAAGAGGTAGATTGTCAATTATACAACCCACGTCGCCATCGGGCCTAGGCGCATCTCACGGCACCAATCAACAGTTAGAGGTGCAAGTGATCGATTGAGAATGAAGCCTAGATACAAAGCGGCTGCTTCTGCGGCTGCGTTCATGAGACTGACAGGATCAGAACACCGGAAGAGATGCTGAATGGAAAAAAATAGTATTAAAGATAGCAAACACGTTAAATTTTACTTACAATGCGTTCTTGACTTCCGCAGACAATGGCAAATGCACCTTGGAGACCAGTGACCTAAAAGGCAAACGTCATCAGAAATGAGTCCAAAACTCGTGAGGTAATTGCTACTGTTTTGTTAGACTAATGCCGCACCTGAGCAAGGTACTGGATATCGCGATAGGCATAGCAGGCGACCCTCGTACCCGTGACCTGGTCAATTTGATCGATTGAAATGGGAGTAATCTCAAGGAAAACGGGTTTTTCTTTCTCTGACCACGTGACTCTCACTGCTGAAAGTTTCTAGAAATGCAAAAAAGGGATTTGATTACTGTTACGATTTGGTAATGCTTTTTGCATTCATTGCATCCTAACGATGGCTCTTGACACTGATAACACCTTTCAAACAATGATAAGACATGTTTGCTTCCGAGCTGATAAATGTGAGGACAGAGTAGATTCAACTAGCTGTTTAAGGCTTAACAAGGAAATCAATATGACACTCGGGTTCTCAAAAATGAATCCGCAAAGCAAACATTAGAAGAGACATTTTCGATGTAAAAACTAGATTTCATGTCCTAGATGTGGTATAAGATTTGTTCCAGTGTTTCGTTCCTAAGCGAAACACTATTGGACTATTCCCCCCTCCCGGGCCTGCTTCAAATGAGCTTGTGGTGCTAGCTCATTACGCGTAGCCTAAGAAGGACAGATAAATAAATTTACCGCTTCCATTCATTACATCTACATGTGGTTACTCAGTTTTATTAACTACCACCTGGGCCAATGATGGAGAGAAATCGTGCCTGGCAAGTTAACTGGCCTTACCGTTGAAAAAAATCGTACGCGGATTGAGTCGACGGGGAAGTAAAACGTAACGGATAGATGATTCGTGTGTATGGATGCACGTTATGAGAACCCGAAATCATCCCTGTCAAATAACACATTAAGTTTTTCCCTCCTAGTTGCTCATGGGTGAAAAAAATGCCAAACAGGTGTTACGGATGCAGGGTTGCGGACGCACAACCAGCTAGAGCCACAATCAAGAAGTACAAGAATAAGAATAGCGGTTGCTGAAGCGGTTGTGGAAGCGTAAAATGTGGCCGAGAGGCCCATCTACAGTGTCTCGGTTGATGACAGGCTCAAGTTCACATGGGCTAGGAAGTAGCAGCAAAAAAAGAGTATGAACACAAAGTCAAGGGAGAATTATGTTCGTGATGAGAAGAATGAGCTTTTAAAACAAAAGTCTAGAAATAGGTGGAAAACCGGGATCAGGTTTCAGGTACTACCATGATCACACTACAGCAGAGTTTAATCTTCCAGTCATACAAAGGTTACGTGGTAGCTAATTCGGTTAAATATAGCAAAATCCGAATGACACTGCAGCCGTAAAAGTACACAGAAGGGCAAAAATTCATCCACAAAAGAACTTGAAACACATAGGGGAAGGAGCGGATGAATCAAACTTACAACGTTAGGTTGAGGTTCTTCCGCAAATAAGCTTCGAAATCTCTACAAACGAGACAGCAGCTGTGTCAAATTTCAACCTAGTTTATTAGATTGCGTCTGCAAAATCACTCAAGCAGCTTTTTTGACATCAACCCTCTACAGTGAGATTCGCAGTGGAGTTATCAGGAATTTCCAATTGGTCATGCTCCGTTATTTGCGAAGTGAATTCAAGACCACTTATCCATTAAGACTGCAGTAGCCGCAACGATTCTTATACAAAAATAGGTCTTTGTGCTTAATGAGATTCATATCCAGTGAGCAGAATGAGTTGAACAGACTTTTTCATCCTGTTAGTGAAAAACTCTTCTAGAACTAGTTGTTGTACTAAAAACCTTTTGAGTACGACCATTCAAATATGCAACAAAAAGTTTTGAATGAAGTGCAATCACCACTTACTAGCATATCAGTTAAAATGTCCGTACGATACTCAGACGAAAATGACATATCCTTGCGTCCGCCAGGTCCCCCAGCAACCAGATTAAATTTCTGTTGATTATTCACACTCCCCGCCTTAGATCCTACGCTATCTGCCCGAATAGCGAAGATTTCCTGGTAGAGCCACTACCAAAGGAGAAAATATAAGCCCAAACAATAGAATAGCCTATTGACAAATTTACCTGTTACTGCAAACTTTAAAAATACAGGGCCAAAAAACTGCTCAAGGACCCAGATATAGCCAAAAAGAACAAACCTGATTGGTGACACGAAGATTGTCCTTTCGATAAGTGGTTATGCCTTGTGTGCCTACTGACAGAACTCTTTTGTAGCTGAAAGACAATAATAAGAACCGTCCAAGGTTTCAGGAAGAGAAGACAATAAGACAGACGCAATCTATCGAGAAAACTAGGATAGCGTTTAAATGATGAGGAAAGCTAGAATTCCAAAAAACCTGAAAGTCGAACCAGCCCATCCTTCGACTTTACTAATGCTAAAAGGCGTAGTAACGCGTGTAAAAAGGGAGCAGAATGAACAGAGGAGGATTCAGCCTTACAAAGGTAGAAGTCTCAAAGAGCACAAGTGGTCAAAGCTTTTAACAAAAAAATTTCGGAGATCACAAATTTGACAGAGATTTTAAAGAGTAAGAATTTAAACAAACCTGCCCTTCCATGCATTTTTTGTTACGAGATAGCTAGCCAAATTTACATTTGACTGCATCTTTGGATGGCGTTTATCACCAACCTGAAAGAAGGGTAGAGATTCAATGAGAAAAATGCGGGTTTTGGAAACCCGTCATGAAAATGACCACATTTGAACCCACTTAGAAATAATGCTAGAAAACATTTAAATGATTAAAATTGATTAGCTAAACTCAGCATAGACGACTAGAAAAGAGCATCATAAAGTAATAGGTATACGGGACAGATAGAGTTTAAGGGACCAATAAACTATAAACCACGATAGAAAACATCAACTTCAATCAAAGAACAGACTCTAATGTATATGAAAGTTCCGAAATGGAATGAAAAATGGTAACCGCAAAAAGTTGGGCGCCTAAAACAAATGACTGCCAGAAAGAAATAGTTAACTGCATTACGACACTTTTGGTAGAATAATAGAAATACAGTAAGATCCTGTGTCTTTCACGAAAGTTATTACTCATTAGGGACCTTCAATTACTGCTAAATACGGCAAGTAAGTTATAAAGGAGACGAACAATTCGCTCCCTCACCATTTTCACCAACCGCGGTCAACCACAGAGATACCAAAGATAAAGTGAGCATGTTCAATTGGGTGACAAGATTTGAATGCACCAGTAATGACATTATTGTGTGTGTCGGGTATTCATATATATTATCGTGCCCTTTAACATACGACAAATTTCTAAGGCCAGTTGTGGATCTAGATCCTTTATCTAATTAGGCTGAAAAGCACGTGAGCTTGAAAGATCAGTACACATGTAATGGGTGAAGATTACGGATGAATGTCCTCCAAAATTCAAGCTTAGTCTCACTTTTAATCATACCCCATGCACGCAAAACTGTTCAATAGTAACAACAAACATTAAACACTTGTGGTAGGTTTCTCTCTTAACAAACTCAAATTGCCTCAATTTGCAGAAATTTGACTGCTGACTTTCTCCCCATCCCACTTGCATTTAACAACCAGCATTGCCTTTTAATCTGGTTATTTTACTACGGCTCTTTTAGAAACAGAACAAAAGGAAAATGCCTTTAAAAACGCATCGGATGAGTTCTAACCTAACCGACTCGTATGACAAACGAACTTGCAACAATCTGACCTACACAGGAGCATACTTTGCGAAATGAGGAGATTCATACTGGAATTCCCACTAGGAGAGTCTTTACTGCTCCTCCACTAGGTATTTCGCCCAGCTATTTCAGGTCCACCCATCTCGGCTTCTTTCGCATTCATCCCTTTACATCGAACCCCCTATTGACCCCTAAATCAATGATAATCCACCGCATGAGGCAAAGCCTCACATCAACTTCGTTGCTGTCCCGATGGTAATCCCAACGTACCTACCCAGTCACTACTCTTGCAACGCCTAGTCCAGAAGTGTCCAAATATGTGTCGAAACTCGGGATGCCAACATGTTTGCCGGTATGGAAGCGAAAGTATTCATACTCAGATGTAACTACCAACCCAGGAGTCCCTCAAATCAAATCCAGTAATTTTTTACTGTATGGTCACAAATGTTAAACCCAAGTTGTGATTCGTCTACGAAAGAAATTCTAAGCCATCCCATTTGTTGGATCCGATGACTGGCATACCGCTGGTTTATGCACCGAATGCACGGGCGAAGATGGCCACCTGTGTCGGAGTCATGGCTAACCCTAACGCCACTACCGCAAATAGTCAGTAAGGGTAATAGTGGATCAGGAACCAATCAGGTTCTGCCAGGTTGTGAACCTATTCGTTGTTCAGCCGTATCTGGCCTTTGACTGGTCTCCAGGTAAGCTCGTTGTGATGTGATTCAGCCTCTAATGCAGTTCATCTAGTAGAAGCAATAGACATGTGATACGAAAGACCCCATATTGACTTTCATACGAAAAGGGTGATTTCATAGCTCACACCTTCGGCTCTCAACCTGATCACTTTTCTTTCATTTCCTCAACAATTATCACAGCGTCTTTCTGAACGACCACTTTCCTTATCATCTGATTATTGTTCACAAGATCTATTTTTTGTTGTTACAAAGCCCGAGGGCTGTCAAAATTCCTTGTAGGTCAATTCTTCAACACTTTTTGCATTTTAAAGGCTTTTTAAGACAGGCGTAGATTGTTAAATATCAACTCAGCTTACTTGTTGGCATAACTTAATACCCTGATTCACCATTTCACTGAAAGATCAACTCCCAATTCGATCGTCCTTACCTGAGTAGAAAGTCTCACCCTTTAAACATATCCAAAATTAGTGCTAACATCTTACCTCCTCCGAGAGGATCAAAGAAATTGGACAAAAAAGCAGGCAAAATAGCGTGTCTAGTTGATGACTCAAATAGACAATCAAAAATACACTCCTTGATTGGGGGAAGTTCTTAATCTACTAATAATGTCTCTGGGGTAGACAATGGAATATGAAAGATGGGAATAGTCTACAGTGTTGGAGCCTTCTTAGACTCTACTAAGCGAAGGCGCCAGTAGGGTAGGTGCTCCTGTCTTGCCTAATTTCACGGAGGTGGCATTGAAGTGAATGACTGTACCTAAACGGCTGTCAAAAAAATATGATGCGGGAATTATTTCACCACAGCAATTAACAGTCCCTCACAATTAGATCAGTTTGGAAGGCTCCCTAGCACACCACCATTGGTAGCTTCATTTGATCGGTTAAAACACATACAATTAGGAACTTCAACGGTCTAATCATTCTTTCACCAGGCGATCAAATGAACTGTTACCGATTCATCCACCCGAGTCCTATCAGTTCATCCACCAAGCCTTCATTGAACATCCATGCACTTCTAAAGCATCAATGCTTCTATCCTTCATTCATCTATCCATTAATTCAACAACTCCTCCCTGAGACACCAGTAAAGTCATCTACTTACTCCAACTCCACCCATGTTGTATCTAACCTCTACTATTCGATTTATCTACTCCTGTGTCATCCATCCATTGACGTGGATTGGAATGATCTGTCCATCCGTTCGTCCATGCACACATTTACGAGATGTTGATCAAATCAGTAGTGATTATGGAAAAGCCTATTTTACTGGTGTAAAATAAGTCGAGATTCCAGCTGATTTCGGAATTCAGGCCATAAATTTTCAGCAATAAGGCTCCCCTCTTGATGGTGTTTCAAACACCTTGCAGGTCACATAGTCCTGTATGACAAAGCAAGTGCCTACAGCAACAATTTGAGCCTGCTTAAAAACCTAAGTACTTCACAAAATAATGTAAACTCAGACAGAAGCAGCGTAGTGGAATTTGGGACCTCTCTCCTCCCCAAATAAAAAAATCACCCAACCGTCTTATGCGACCGTAATTTCATCGAAAATCAGACACTCCCACCTATGAGTGAGGAAAGCGAAGGAAAAGAAAACGATCTTCGAAAAACACTAAGCACGCAACATGAGGCCTGCAAATCCATGCGTTAACTGTTGCTAAGAATACGCACTGCTTGCAATTAACAAGTAGCATAAGAACGGAGAACCAAAATAAGCTACTGAATGGGTTGCATGATTTTTGATACTGGGTAAGTTAAGCAGACTTGTACGCATAGGTAGCCAGTCTAGATAACGTTCTACGCCGAGTTTCAGATTGTACCACTTATTGTGTGATGCCGATTTTGGGCGTAAAACCAAAACGCTGTCTTAAAATGACGAAAAAAAACGCAGCAAAAGTTGAAAAACTGTACCAAATTTTAGTAAAAAAGAAAATGTTTGCATCGAAAATAAAGACAAGAACAAAAGCCGAACATAATCCAGAGAAAAAAAGAAACTAATTTTCGCCTTTAATTCAATTTTTAAGGGTGGCGGAGACATGATCATTGATGCCTGCGGATTACACAAAGGAACGATTTTTGTGAATGAATAAGTCAATAAGAAAGGCTGCAGAAGACGTAGAGAACGCTAGCGGAAGGCACAAGTCCAGGGATTTCGAAAGAGTCCATGGCTTCATAATCTTATCAAAAGGAATCCTCATCTAAATTGAGAATGAAAAAGAGAGCATTTGGTTAGACCCGCTACCAAGGGGGGTAGGACACTACTATGTACACCCATGAGACAAATTAGTGTTTTTTCTTGTGGAAATAGAGAATAAGTTCAGTAAGAATAATTGCTAACATCCCTGATTTCAGACAAGCCCCAGACTTTCATGGGAATTACAGTTCCCCTTACTTTTCCTTGCCGACATCTTAGTGGTAATACAGGTACTCATTGAGTTTTCCTCGTAGTAGATCACGTCAAAGAACTAACGGCTAAATGTTAGCATCTACTTTTTTAAATGCCATTTGGTACCCATGACTAAGACCACCAGTGATGGGTCCAACACCTATAAGTTCAACTTTCTTGTAATCTCTTCAACACCTCCCGTCAGTTCCAAGGTACTTTTATTCTTCCTAGTCATCAATGTACTTAGCTGAGGATTCAGGGGAATCAGCATCCAGTACACTAGTAGGGTATTTCAGACTGCTGGAAATACCTACAGCACCACAAAAACGCTTGTATTTGATTCCCTACACGTCTTCGCTTTGCACTTAATTCTCCAGCATTCCAGACATCTCGCTCTTGCTCACTCCTTCGCGATTGGCTGGTTATTACATCAGCTGCACTTTAAGTGCACCAATATTTATCCTAAGTACAATTTCGATCAAATATGTGCCAAGTATACGTGATCAAGGGGATCGGTGACCCAGACCAGGGCTCAGACTCGGCCTCCGATATTCTACGCTAGCCAGCCGCCGAGTTCGTGCACGCATGTTGAGTAATAAAGGCAACAACTCCGCAACCTTATCTATTGCTCCTCCAGTTGGGAGCTCGATGGGGTCCAGACCACACGAATAATGGAAGCCCCAGTCCATAAAAATGAGGGAGCTTAAAACACTGACAATTTCGATTCACTAGTAGATAACGCCTTCAGGTAAACTTGAGACTGCTACTAAGCACAAAGTCGCCTCTCTGCGTGGTGGAATACGATTCCTACCTCTTGAATTGGTTTCATGTGTGGTCTTCGCAACCATCCTCACTTTAAGGAGTGACAATTCATACTAGACTGCTGTAGAGGCAACCGGCTTGAGAGAAGGAAATGATCGCATGCTAAAACAACTTCTCTTCCTACTCCCCCATCATCACCGTTTCCAACAAAAATTTGGAACATCGCTAAAACAATTTCTGAAATGCCCTCAAAAACGGTATTAAGTGTCAAGCTAAATTGCGCTAAATCAAGGAACCATGAAACACCCGACATCCTAGGGCACGAAGCTGTCCTCACCAAATTTGAAGGCAGAATCAATAGTATGCCTAAAGAAAATTCAAAAAATGATATCAGAATACTGAATTGTATTCGATGGAGCGTTGGAAATGGGCGAACAAACCCCTAATGCAAAAGAGCAGTAAGAACTAGACAGAAATTTTCAAAACTTTACACCATTTTTAAGTCTAAATGACCAATTTTTCCCAATGTAAACTTAAAAAAGCTTTTTTTTTTCTAAAGTAACGATCCTAAAACCACCAAGACGTCAAAATACTGTCCTGAAATGAAATCCGAATGGGAGGGTTCGTTTACATCCTTAAAAAATAAAAGGAATAAATAGCGAATAATGCTAAACTCAAATTTACTTAAGTATCAACAAAAAAATACCAACTTTTATCTCAAAAGGTTCCCGTCATAGTTCTAAAAGGTTATCAAAATACAGGCTCTTCTATAAATACCCTCAAAAAAGTCAGTCCTTCACTTCGTCAACAAAACCTATTTCATCTTGATGGAAAAAGAAAGACCAAGTGGCGACTAGTCTACAACATTTTTACAAGGAATCAAAAATGACACTTTTAAAAGAACGAGAAAGTCAGATTCACTTACGAAAAGTACATCTTCATTTCTTTATCCGCATTAAAAAGGGCATCAAAAAATAGGGTACCAAAAAATTTAAAATTATTTCGTCAGCACCAAATGCAATCGCAAGAGGAACTAGATCCGCTTGTGTGGAATGGGACGACCAAATCGCATTTCAGCCTTAGCTAGAACCAAATGAAGCGGACGAGCGTCTTAGATAACCTTTAAGCACAAAAGGAAAGACATCTAGCAATGCGAAATAAAGCATTCCTTATCAAATCCTACACCATCTTTAAATCTATCAGTAAATTAAAGATAAACGATTCTATCGAAGCGCAAAATCTAGCGCAATTATGGGTAGAGATCATGAGGGACAAACTGATCTATCCTGTAGTAACGGAACGTACTGACGCGGCACCGCACATAGGTTCGCGGCCCACGGTAGGTCTCTGGCGGTGGCGGGAATGTGTTTTCATTGGGGAAGTTGAATCTACTCTCCCAGGTCTTATCTTCCGACGGACGTGAAGGTACGGGTGGCAGTGGCCCCTGACCAATGTTAGGGCTTACTCTCGGGCGGTAGGCCGGTGGTGCTGGAGCCTTAAAAACAAAAAAAGACATCACTAGAGGTAGGATGCCGCTATTGAGGTCGCCTCCACTCAGCAAATATTTCAGGCTCAAGTTCCAAACCATAATCGAAAACGGGGTAAACCCTACACCATGCAAGGCCACATTGTCGGCTCCTGACCAACGTTAAGGCTTACCCTCGGGCGGTAGGCCGCTTCTTTAGACGGATGTGGTGATGGCGCTGGCGATTGCATTGATGGTGCTGGAGCCTTAAAAACAAAAAAAGACATCACTAGATGTAGAATGCCGCTATTGGGGTCGCCTCCACTCAGCAAATATTTCAGGCTCAAGTTCCAAACCATGATCAAAAACTGGGTAAATCCAACAACCTGCAAGGTCAAATCGTCCACAAAGAGAAGCGTTTGCAAAAGAAAGGAGGGAGTATGGACACAAAAGTCGGTGGACTGGAAAGTTTTGTACCGTTGTGGATGAAAGCCTACAGCCTTCATTCCTGGCTTGAAGTTAATTTCAATGAAAAAAGCTGTGATGATAGATGCAGAGGATTAATCATGGTGACCGCTCATGATGATGTAAAAGGCGAGATGGAAGGAAAATGCTCCAAAGATTTGGAAAATTTGCGCAAGTAAAAGAAGAGGCAGTATATTTACGATAAGCAATTCAAGCACAGAAAGACAGGTGTGGCAAATAAAGCGAACAATCAGATAACATGAAAAATGAAGATAGTGAGAGCCTTCATTCCCTATTTAGCAGCTGGCTCTACAGCGTAGCTAACCCGTTGTTTTCCTGGCTCTTCGAGTAAAGGGTCAGAGCCGCGCGGTGGCTAGAACAGGACGGAATGAATTACATTGGTGATGCAGTCTTTTTATATTTTTACGGCGATCTTTGATTTCCCAATCCTTCTATGTATTTGAACTGGGTCCGCATAAAATTTTTGCAAGAGCTAGGTTTGACGCCACGCCGGTGGGACCGGTTGAACAAACTTCGAAAGAATACAAACAATCCTGACTGCATTAGGCACATGTTACTCCATAGCATATGCTGTGCACTTCCCAAAATCACCTACCTAACTTTCATTTCTTCATGATAGATAATAATAGTGAGACCTGCATTAAACACGAACCTTCCCAATCTTTGACGAACCGGTCCCGACATCAATGCAACGGGACCTTACTCATGCTTATCTACCCAATCTTCTGGGCCTTTGGTACTCTGACAACGAAGCTACTTCATGACTCATGCCATAATGGCATTAAGGATAACTCGGCAGCTATGTTGTGCTGGTATACCTAACACATTTGCAAATAATGCGATACCCTTCTCTGATGCTTCAAAGAAGGCATAAGAGAAAGTCACCTGCTGTGAATAACTAGATCTGCCCAAGCATTATAGGAATCGCATAAAATTTGGATAACCACCCCGACCTTTGGTTTTTAAACTTGGCCACCAATGGAACGAGATCTGAATTTAATCTGTTCAAATCTTCAATCAAAGAGTAGTCAAAAAGAACAACGAACAACGATATCGAGTAACTACACAGACAGGTATTTGGGCAGCAGTGGAAAAAATAATTTGAGTAACATCGCATCATGTGCTTCATTAAAAGAATTTGCTTTAGTGTGGATACTTTGCCCATGAAAATGATTTAGTGTGCAGAATTCGCTCACAATAAACATCATTCGGCCCTGGGCAAAAACTAGTGAACCCACGAAACTAATTCAAGCGCTGAATCAGGAAGTCTTCCAGCGGTGGCACGAATTTTCCAATATCGTCGTGACTGCCTTATGGTTGATTTCAATTCATTCGAATTCTACCACTAACGCCAGCGCTTCCGTACTAGGAGAACAACGCTTATAATAAAGCTACTCCTGTATTGGGCCTTATAACATAGGAAATTAACTCAACCACTAAGTAAAACCCCGATTCACTATTCGGCTTAAACCCTTACCGCTCTACTTAAGGCATGGGAAGTGGCATACCGAATCATCGTCTACTGAGTCGATTGATGCCCACCGTCTAAATTCCTATCAAATGACATTAGTATTAAGCGAAGCTGACAACTTCATGACAGAAACCCTTTCAGAAACAGCCAAATCGATGTTAATCTACGGCGTCTCGTTTAGTAGAACTAAGTAGCCTTTGTTGTTTGAGCAACCTCCACCTTACCTGGACGGCTGGAAAAGGACGGACGTTAGGTTCGGGCTGCACGTACCCCGGCGCGGGGCGGGCCTGGAAAGCTGGGCTGCCGAAATTCGCTTCCATACGGTGAGAGGGGGACGGAGGTCTCTTTTGAGGGGATACTGGCGCTGGTTGCGGCTTTCCCTAAGCGAATTAAAGTGGAGAGAGGTGTGCATAGGGAAGGAGGAATAAGATTATTGGCTGGTAAACAAAAGGGGGTCGTGTCCGTTCCAGTTAACCTTGGCCTCTACTCTATCTAGGTTTTCATTCATCCATCAATCAGTTCTATCAATCTCCAACTTGTAATATCGCCTTCCTATGGAGAGAGGTGTTCAAAGTAAACCGCGGCTTTTGGGTTTATTTAAAAGATAAGAATACACTTCAGGAGTTACAAACTATATCCACTTTTCGGCAGCTTTCACATTTACACATACTGTCATTTAATGTATACCTCAGCCTCTTTTAATGACGAGAGAACACTTTCACATTTATGGTAGCAACCCAGATAGGTAGCAGTGTCTAAAAGGTGGAATCTAATCAGGGAAATTGCTTCGAGAAGTCACTTTACGTGATACTTTAATGTGTCTTGCTTTTAGACAAATGTTTCACCTACACAATACGATTAGTGCAAAAAATGAAAACTTTGCAGGATTCTCATTTCTGTTCTTCATTTGATATCACTTAGCTCAAAAGCTACTGTAACGACCAAAGCAAAAGAGTAGATACAGAAAACGCCGATTGTGAAAAGTAAAGCAAAGTAAAAGGTGGGGGGAAGGAAGAAGTGTAAAACAATAATGTTTGTTATTTTCAGTCCTCTATGGATCGACTTTCACGGCAGTGACATGAAACCCTGCCTTTCCATAGTAATAATAAAGCTACCTCCAGCCTTGTGAGCCACGTAACTTCTTCTAAGGTAACTCGTGTACTACACACAAGCAAAAAGAAGGCATTTCATTAACGAGAAACCACCCCAAACTTCAGCCTTTCACGCGCCAAAATCGTGACGGGTGGCACACTATAAATAGACAGATGGAAATACGACATTTCGTTTTTAACAGACCTCAAAATTCATGCGTTTACGTGCTCTGCAATTGAAGCAACAGTTACCATTCCTTCATGACAGTAGGGCATTTGAGTCGGTTAAAAAATTGTATGCACGCTATTCTGACGTTCGTATCAAGTTGAATACGAATGAGAAAATAACAAAATGTTATTTTAACTTTTATTACACTCAAAGAATGACTTCCCGCCGAGTTTCGTTTCAGTTGAATAAATTAGCGTACAAAGAAGTTTTCCAATTCCACCCAATGTAAAAGTCGGGAACAAATAACTAAGCACTCCTCTGTCAATAGTTGCTCGTAAGTTGCTACGAAACACATCAGAGACGGGTTCAATCAGTTTTTCTGCACCTTCTTCATCAACTATTCTCCTGGTGTTTTCAAGAACTAATTGCAGGGTTCCTTCTGCACTTCCCTTGATCGTTTCCAAAGTCAGCCAGAAATTAGAACCGCCCCGCATTCGTCGTCCTAGTGCGACCACTATCGAATTTTTAATTCAAGCCCACACACACATGCATGCTTTTTATCCACGACATGCAACGAATGGCAAAACACTGTTCCTTCCTTTGGTGAGAGCTCTTATGCTAAACTGCCACAAGGACAGTCGGTCTGCCGAACTGGAGTAGTTATATGACAAGATCAAATCCGGATTCCTCTTCCTTCCGTCTTCCGGCTTCAAAAAATATAAAATCAACAGGTGAAAAGTTTGACAAGGGAAGCAGATGAAAAATTCTTCTAATTCGTGTGTGTGAAATGGCAATTTTGCAGCATGATTAGCATCTTTCCAATGTCCAAATACCAATAAAATGACTATTCTGCTTGCAGAGTAGATGTACTTGAGGAGCGTTTTTCCCAAGATGTCGAAGAATTATACACAATGGGAATGCAGCTACAGAACCTTAACTAAAGAAGACGAATGACTATCCGATCGCCGAAACAAGTATCCATACGTCTATTCTTGAGCTGTACATTCCTTAATGGATCCATCTACCTCTGGTCGTTATTCAGATATCCATATATTGCTCCACCCATCCCTAGGCTATCAGCTTTACTAATGAATTCGTTTCAGATTCATCAATTCCTTATTTCAGGTGCAAGAGTCCATCTATCCAAGAATCCTAGACCCATCTCTTTATCCAATCCTTGCAAATGATACAATGCAATGTTGACCCAGTCCAGGAATTAGCAGGCATGCATGCAGTCATTCATCTTGATTCATCCAAGCATTCATCTTTGATGCAACGACTTATCCGAACATTTTGTGCTATATACCATAAGTCTACTCAATCTAGAAGTTTATGATGAAAGATGCGCTCTTAACTGCAGATGGTGCCACCCATTGGTTTCTTGACGAGAGGTATTGAATAACTACCAACGGGGCTCCGTCGCCTTTTAACATGCACTTGTGCACAGTTGTGATTCATAGTGAAGGCGATGACGAGGAGCCGAGATGCACCTAGACAGCAGTACACAGCACTGGCACACACCCGTACCGCTTAGGTTATTGCCTGAATCGATAGCCCGTTGTAAATGGCATACACACGAATGCGCTGCAGCATTACAGCTAAAAAAATTGTAGGCATTTCTTTAGGTAGCAATTCGCTTACAACGCTTGCGTGTACATTGCATAACTACTTTATCGTCCTTGAGACACAGAAACTACCATTTCACCCCATCAATGAAGATGACTTAATTACTCAGTTATCCAGAGACTGCCAGACACAAAGAGCGTTGCCCAATTAGCTGGAAATGAATAGAAATGACCTACTTGCATGGCTATGAATGCTTCATAAGTAGTTCAGCGTGCGCTGGAGACAGGATTCAACAGCTTATTCCGCATAGGAATGATGACATCCTTATATGGGTAGATGGGCTACGAAAGTTGGCGCCTGTCAGGCATATGGTTCATTATTAGCTAACTCAGTACTCATTGAAAGTTGCCTGATTGCAGAGCCGCATACATTACTTAAATTAGGCATCTTCTAGGGATAAAGATCAGAGCATGGTACCTATAGAGGTAGATATCAGTGGACACCAAGAAATGAACTTTGTAAAATCTCTACAGTCTTCTTTTTGAGCTCATACACAAAACGGCTGCATGTGAAATTTGCAAGTTATGCAACATCATCTATCGCTTTCCCTAACGCATTTCACTAGCGGAGAGTATGGGAGAATGGTGTTTTTCTTATTATATTCAGTCCTGTCAGTGTATCCACCGACGACTACCGCCATCGTTGGCGCTATTGTGACGACCAATGTGTAGTGTGTGTAATAATTGGGGGCACCGGGGACGATGCATAAAACACCGGTTGAATGTATGACTGACCTCACACTGCCCGTCCGTGCTCTTCATTCCGAATAAAAGTCTTAACGTAGGTAACAAACAGTTTACCTTTGGAGCCCGAAATTTTAAGCACCCAAGCTTCCATGCTTCAACGTCTCAATTCCACATAACAAAGGTTAGATCATTAAATAGTTTCCTAAGTACATTTCCTTCCTCTCTTCTCAACACAGATCTTCACACAGAAAGCGAGCAGATGTTAGCTGTTTAGCAACTCAAACTTCCATGCTTCAACATCATCGGCCGATCAAGCTACCATTGGGGCGATTAATCATTTTCTGAATAGCATTTCCGCCTTACAAGTGCGTATCTCCCAGATGGAAATGGGAAATTGACTGTTAAAATTCAGAGTTTGAACAACTTCAATTTCCATGCTCCGAACAATCGAACAGATCTCGCAACCAACAATAAAATTGGATCGTTTTCTGGATGCCTTCCCTTTAAACCAAATTTTGGTCTTCGGGTGGATGACTAAGAAATAATGACTAGAGTTTGGAGGAAAAGGATTCAACAGGCCGTACTTCAAAGCGTCAAATTGATCTGGTGTAAAAGTCGCGAAATGTGTACCGGATACCCCCTCCAGCCAAAAGGATCTACATGTAGGTGGAAAAAAAGTTGGTTGTCGAAGTTCTGCATTTGAACCAATAAATGATGTTTTAATTGGAGAAGTGGCATTATCATCCTTCTGCGCGATCAATACAACCAAAGTATTTCAGACTTCTACACCATACAATAATTGCGGCCTGTTAAAGCGGACACTAATTTTGCATTTCTTTATCGGCTAATAATAGGCCTAGGATTTAGACAAACGATAGTTTATTTATCACTTCCTCGATTTGAATTAAAAGCACGGTAAGAGATCCACAGGAAACATTTAAAACAAGCAAAGTAGAAAGATGAAGCGAAACTCTCGCCGCACATCCTGCGCATTTTAGCACCAAACAAAAATAATGCATAAGTCACGTTTGAATGGTTTCAAAGTGTTAAAACACAGACACTAACGTCATAACGATCACGCTTTAAAGAGTTGCCTCTTAACACCTAAGGTGCCCGCGTAGGGAAACCAACAATTTTATCACGCCTTTTTATTTTTTTCAGAATCACAACAGATTAATATTTCGTACCCCAGAAACCACTCAACAGCGCCCCATACTGTCCAGTTCTCTCGCTCCCAAAAGAATTCCTGCACTGAAGGTTAAGTTGCGGGTAGTTTTTTTTATCACACTATGCACGAGAGAGGAGTAATGGAATGAGAGACTCACTTGAAAACGATTAGCACACATAGCATTGAGTTCCGCCCTGAGGTCCTTAGGTGGGGAAGCGACTCCACCACCGCCGCCCGGCGGCATTCCCGACCGATTTCCTTTACTGGCACCTTTGTCGGCTACGAGAAAAGCCAAAGCAAAAGTTCCAATTTTGGGACAATAAACAGTGTTTGGCAGTCTCCCATACCTCCGCTACTGTAGTCGCTTCTACTCCAACTCTCCTTGAGTTTAGTCAGCTAGCCAACGAACTAGCGCTTTTAATTTCACTGGAACTGATAAAAGGGAATGCCACTTTGCCATCAATATGTACAATAACAAAGTGTTCCGCGAGTATTTATGGCAATCGGAACAAATATCATGGGTGGTTCAGTCTTGTCCGATCACAAGTAACAGAGATAGTAGACAATACTACTGCTGAATGGGTGATAATGAACGAAATCTCTTGTCAAGAAAGGCGTAAGACCCAAGCCTATGAATAACCACTCCTATCTGCAGGAGCCTTCAAGGAAGACGTGGGATAGTGGTGAACGCCCATTAGAAAGACATTTAGTAGTAAGGTGTAAGCTTTCAAAAGACGACCGCAAGTGCACCTGTCAGCGACGACCCTGTTCGTTTCCACCTCATTACTGCAGCAGCCACTTTTAAAGTACTTAATTCAACGGGTGAAACGCCTGACCCTGGACATTCCTCACGTACAACCTCCAGTGCAACGAAAATGTGCCAGACATGAGCCTTTCTATGGTAGACACGGTAAATACAATCATTCGCAAATACCTCCACTTTTTGGAAGTTAGCACACTTTGAATTTAATGTAACGGTTCAGGGAGAATGACAAACCATACCGTGTTAAAACTGCATTCCGAGTACTAGTTAAACACTGGGGTAGATGTGGAAAAGCAGAAAATAATCACTGTTCCCTTATAAATAAAGTAACATTTCAGTATGAACGGCCTTTGAGTAGCAAAACGCATGGACCTTTTTAAAACCTGCCACCAGCCTCCCAACCCCCCTCTGCATGTTAACAATAAATATACCCTCAGAATCGTATGGCTTACTTCCTCGAAGCAGGAATCTCATTCAAAATAAACAATCTGCAGTCTCAATCGTGCGACAATATCAACAAGAATGGCTTCTACCTAAGGTGAGTCGTAGACAAATTCAATATGTCCCCCATGACTGACCAATTTCACCACCCAAGATCACCAGCAAGTATATGAGCAAACAGATCCCTACCTAAAAGATTCATCCATCAACGCCAAGAAAAATCCGACTAATTATTCCACGAAATTATTCACACTTACCTCTTGACTACATAAATAATCACGCAAGTCTTTTCAGTCTTCTTTGATTCGGCCTCTTCACCAGTGGCACGAAGCTATGATTATCCAACCCTTGCTATCAGCCGATAGCGAACTCACCTCCAGATCTCTCTACTCGCCATATCATTCGCGAGGATAACTCCCTAGCGTGATATGCATGACATTTCCTAACCCTCATAAAAAAATGAGGCGCTTTAACACACAGCAAGGCTCAGAGATGGGGTAGTTACAAATACAAAGTGCAACCGCTAAGGCTGTCTGCGGGGATCCACAGCAGAGCCTCCAACCCTTCCGTACACTGATAATAAAGCCAACTTCGAACGCGCATGCCCTATAATTGGAATACAGCAGAGGAACAAAGGGGGCCTACTACAACAACGAAAATAGCGAAAATCGTCAAAGACGACACTCACAACAAAGAAGCAACCCCTTGATAGCACTCCACCCCTTCTACTCAGTAGGACCGAAGGCATTAATAGACTCCCCGTAATTTAATTGTCATACGTATTCTAAGATACGCCGACAGGGTTTCGAGAAAGTGCTAGGTTGCATTTAGCAGAACTTTAACTGGCACCATAACTTAGACGGGGTTTAGTCAACACCCCAAAGTAGAAATGAATTACAACAAAAGTTGATTATACGCAAAACAGAAAAGTGGCTACAGATGCCGTAGGAATTTAAAAAATTAGATACAAAATCCACACAAACTTTTAAGAATGGAAAAATAACAGCGTGGAATTGGCGTTTATAAAAACACAAAGTTAGGGTATAAAACGCACTCTGTAGAGCAGTGGACCACCCTTTTAAAAATAAATACCCCTCCCCAACCAAGTTCATCCATTCTTCATGTGTCTCGACTGGAAATTTGCGAGGGATATGCACCATCATTGCCAATTTAAATTGGTAACTTTCTCGGGATAAGAATTCATCAACGTACTATCATCTTCATCCCTGCCTCAATTTCAATGTATTTACCGACGACTACCGCCTGGGAAATAAATCAAATTTTATCGACGTCTTAATACCTGTGTCTAAAGAATTAAAAGTACCGAAGAATGTCGCAGCCTTTTGGGCTGAATCACATCCCTTCACGAAAAAAAGTTAACCTCAACTTTGAAAAGACAAAGCGGCTCGAAGGATAAGCAGCGCTATTTGCGAGAGCAACATGTGACTCAGAGTCGTCCTAATAAGATCGACACATTAATTAACGTGACCGATGTCTATTGTGTTAATATTACTCCTTGTATCAAGAAGTCCTGTTAAACGCATTTGCTACCAACATGATATGTAAGTGACATGAGTCGTTTATCAAATTTTGATAATCAGTTGCCCGGATCCGTGTGTCGCAAACAGATGGGTTTGGGCTAGTAGACAATTAAACTTATGCGAGCGTTGGCTCAACGATGATTAAAATTGCCCCTAGTTTTTGAGCTGCATAACTTTAAATGAGGTACAACTTTTATGGGCTGTAGCAGAGGGCCCTCTTTGGCGAATGTTGGCAAACGTGTTACAAAAAAGTTGTTCAAATTTATTCTATGAGGAGAGAACAGCGGCATTCTGCACAGATACGTTCGGATTATCCGTAGTGTTAAACAAAATAAGGGGAATAAACTCATTTAAACCACACCTTAATTAGAAAAACCGACTGCTATCGATAACAACACGGTTATTAACTTTGAATGGAGCAAAAGAAATGTCTCCTGATGTTCCTGAAGATTGCTGCCCTTGGAACAGCAATGATCCAACTTTACATCTCGAAATCAAAGTTACTTACAAATAAGTACCGGTTTCCCACTAGACTATGTAAAGAGGCTATGGACACACTATCAATATAGGTAATCCGGCTGATATTCTTATCTGGTCATTCTAAAGAAGACGTAAAATCATCACTTGATGAGGGACTTGATAGGACAAAACGAGATGCGCCTTAAGACAGAAAAAAATTACAAAACGGAAACAGAAGCTCGCGGAAAGCGTCTTTCGATAATCAAGCTATCCCACCTCCCAGAATAAAACCAGAAATATATATTGAAGACAACATTAAAGCACCAGATATGTGCACAAAAGCGGAATAAACTTGGAAATCAAGTCAGAAACCAGGTCCAACGCGTTGTAAAGACAGTGAATAAGGCAGCTAAACGCCAACAAGACTTCCCAGTTCCCAGATCAAGCCCACATCTTAATCACGACGGGGGGAACTAGGAGAAAAGGGTGTACTTACGAACGAGAGCAGCGCTACGATCATTTTTCTGCGACTCAGGCACCTTCTTGAGCACTGTACCCTTCCGAATATCCGCCAAAAAGGCCGGGCCTCCACCACCACCGCCCCCACCTATGGGAGGTGGAGGCGCGGCAGGAGGAGGTGGAGGTGGTGGCGGTCCAGGCATTCCGAATGAATGGTGCTGATTAGGAAAAAGGTAACAAAATCGGATTTCTCATAAAGTACATGATGCAAAAACGTAATTAAAATGATTTTAAAGGGAGAAATTCCCATAAATAATAGGTAACAAACGTTCAACGCAACACAAAAGGGTGTAAAAAATTCCGCAAAAAAAAGGGAAAGTCTAGACTAATCCTAATTAAAAGGTGTGAGCGCAAAGTAACACTGAGAACTAATAGACTGCACTAAAAAACTGAAAAACAGGGGTAAGTCAACAGATTGATTTGAGATGGACGGATGAGTTGACGTTCAACTAGTTTGTTAAACATTAAATAATTTGATTCAAAAACCTCTAAGACACATGAGGAGGTTGATACAAACGTTAAAAGCAACGTCATTGCCAGTCCTTACTTCAAAGATTGCTTAAGATGCAAAAGATGAGACACGACGCAAAAAAATAATCTTAGCCTTTTGTGAAATTTTATGCTTTCCAAAAGGAACCAGTGATAATAGGTATTGGCGTCACGGTTGTGTCTAGATTGTTAGTGAATGTGAGCAATTTACGTAATATTAAGTAATAGTGTATCCTAGAAAAAATAATTTGGACTGAACAATGAGATTCAAGAGATGATCTTTAACAATCCCCATAACCCGTATCAGCAAAACTTCTACAGAAAGAGGGAGCAGACGATTACAAATGTACCAAAAAATTCAAATTGTAGAGCCAAGTCTCGACGAAATGAGCCCAGAGTCAAATACAAAAAACAGAAGTTAGCATGTTAACCACACGCGAACGGTAAGACCAGAAGAAACTTCATCATGCTAAAGAAAGGAATCAAGAGGATTTACTAAATAACGGTACACTTCAAAAGCTAATGCTACAACTAATTTGAGAATTATAAACCTAGGTCTGTGCAAATTGTGCCCATCATGCTGAAAGAGGAGAAGATAGATCACAGATCTAAACCTCTTAATCCAGTTAATGCTTCCAAAGACAGGGCAAAAAATGCCCCAAAATACAAAAGACTACCTCAGTTAACCTACCGACGAAAAATATTTGAGGAAATGAGGGAAGAAATTCACGCGCAGACAAACACCGGAAGAAGTGCGATCGTTATTGGCTATTTGATTAAGGGAGCAGTTATAAGTCGATTTTCAGGACACTTATCGTGCTTTACTGTTAAAAAAGAGAGTAAAAAGGGTCCTGACTATTAAAAATTTTAAACATCTTATTTAATTGTTACCAGATTAATGGTGTATTTCAAAAATACAACTCTATCATACTACTGGCTCCAGTAGATTCAATGTTTCGCACCCGCCCAGAGCTATACGTTGAGCAGTACTCAACAGTTTTGACAAAAGCCATTCACATAGCGGCACAATTAAGTGTTTTTATTAAGAGCATTATTCACTTTAAAGACATTATACTACGATTTGGCGGATAAATGGTTTTCAAGTCATAAACGCAACCAGTGACGTTCTAAAAATGCAAACTATTACCCAATCATGCGCACAGCTAGGTGTAGTACCTATGTAGTTAAACGTTCCTGCCGAAGAGGAGGCGGAGACACGAATCGACCCCCGTGACTGAGGAGTCAACGCCCTGCAAGCTGGAGAATGGTCCCGTGTCCGCGCCCCCTAAACCTGTGCCTGCTTCCCCCATTTACTTATCCTGAAATTATGGCAAAACCGAATCAACCTAGGGGACTTAAGAGTATGGGAGTCAAGGATTGAGGTCTACGAGCCTCGTCCTACCTAGAAACATATACTGTGCGGAAGTTCGAATACAGCAGAATCCTTGTCCAACCCTCTGTCTTTGACCCTCATACCCCTTAAACAAATAGACTGGTTTGATACGGACAAATCTAATGGAATTCTTTAACCAGGTTGGAAAATGCACGTTCTGGTCTTTTGGCAAGCTGGGGAACTTTGACAACACTACTGCCGAATTTGTGTCCATTGGATGCTTCTCACCTAGAAGGTGTATATAAAAAAACAAGTATTCCATCAGATGCTCTTTATAGTTTAAACGTTAATGTCGAATGTAGCTGATTAGTACCCTTTATGAACTTGCCTCTTTCAAAAACTTCAAAATACTGCAGTTTTAGAAACGACTTTTGATGAAGCACGTCATTCTTTTTAATTTGTGGTTTATTATGTACCTGTATCTTAATTTGCATAAAGTTCTAAATTTACTTCTGTTTTCAATAGTTCCGTTCCAGTGGTCATTTTCACATTCTTGATTGGCTGAAGCCCACCCTTCTACTGAGCTTCGTTTATCACTTGTGGTTCTAGGCTTCTGTTTCTTGCATTATTCTTCGACTTTCTTGAGAGAAAATAAGTTTCAGCCTTTTCGGCAATATTTATTCCTAGTAATTTTCAGCAAACGGCTTTTATCACGCATTGCCTTGATGATGGAACAAGCCCGAAACGTTATAGCTACCGCTTTCTTCTGCCTTCTCTCGACAATCTTCTACGTCGAATGCTTTGTGGTTGCACCCAACTTCTTGGAGTATCGTAGCTCTTCATATTACTGTGCCCTTTGTCTTGGTTTTTTTGCTTCAACTAACGTCCTATACAACCTAATTTGTATGGTCTACACTGATCCATCTCTGGATAAACTGATGCTCATCCAACGATCTGGCCGAGACTGGTCGTATTGTCTCAGATGTGAAACAGTTAGACCACCTAGGGCCCACCACTGCAGTCAATGTGACGTCTGTGTCCTGCGCTTCGATCATCACTGTACTTACTTGGGTATGTTGGCGTTTGGCCTGGTTTCTGAAGTCATTATTCACACGTAATCCTTTACCAATGGACAGAACCGATTGAATATCCAAAAAGCTCATCTAATTTACAAAACTTACAGAGTGATGTTGTCTTTTGAACATTACCCCTAACGCTCCCTGAGCATCGTTCTTGATAGCCCCAACAGTTATCCACATTGGTTGTCGCGACGATACTGGTAGTGTCAATAGGTGGATCAAAGCCGTTCATTTGTCCACGTAAAGCAGGAACGAAGATGATAAGATGAATATACTTCGCGGGGAAAGGGTTACGACTTCATTTAGTAACAGAGGAGCATTCCATGGGGTTTCTCCGCGTACGGTTGAATACTAAGCAGTCAAAGCAATGACAAAAGTGGATGGTGGGTAGACAAAATAGTGGGTGGTTTGAAAGGCTAGTGGATGTATGAAAGCATCAGAGATGGATTAAGAGATGTGCGGTGGGTGAATGAATGTGAAGGTAGAATTGAGTGGTTAAGAATTTAGAAGTCTGTAGATGCATGAGTGGATAAATGGGTGAACTGGCTGATAGGTGAATGAATAATTGGTAAATGGAACTGCTTTGAAGGGAAGGTTTGCTTAGGAGGGATGATTTTCCATCGTCTGATGCGGACTGTAGCCTTCCATATCGCTCTTAGCTACCTTTGGTGAAGTGTATTGAGCGTAGGCATTCAGTTGGGGACGGTGGTCTACTTGTTTCTTTTTCAGCCCAGTGTGTTGGGCATGCCAATATGGTATACTTCATTCGCCTCCTCTTCTACCTCGCCTTCTCCTGCTGCCTAGCCAGCATTTTCAACGTGCCTTACGCACTCCACTTAATCTACGACGGGTGGTCCCCATGGCAGTGGTTACTCTGCATGCTCAACCCCGTGCCCTTCATCTTAATGGGTTGGATCTCCGCCAGTCAATTTCTCTTCTGCCTTCTAACCTCCTTCTGTGTCATCCTCGGACCCACAATGTTCATCCTCTTCCTCCATCATCTGCGTCAGATTTTGCGGAATCAGACAAGCGTAGAGGTACTCATCTCGAAAGTGCAGATTCCCACGCAGATTAGGTATGAGGAGCATGACCTGAGGCCCCTGAGCTATGACCGTGGATGGAGGGCAAACTTAGAACAGGTGATGGGTAAGCGGTGGCTCCTGGGATTCCTGCTCCCCTGTCTTCCTGTTGTACGATCTACGGATGGTCTGCGCTTTCCCTCCTCAGACATATAGATAGTCTTTTCTTGCATTTGTGTTTGCTCTTTTATTGGTCACTTTTTACTTGATTGGATAATACACGGTGGTTGAAGTATGCTTTTTGTTGTATTCCATTGCTGCGGAAGTGACTACGGTGTCTGAAATCTTGTTCATTGAGCTTTTCTGCATGCTTTCGAAACGGTAACTTGGTAGTACTTCTTCAAAATCTGACGACATAAGATTTTCTTGTGTAGTCTGCGGAGGATAAATGTGCGTACCGCTCCCTTCCGCCATAATTGTTTTCACTGTCGTCTCGGCTTTGGTCCATCTCCTAAGCAGCATGTGGTCAGCTCAATTGGGATCACGATTAGTGTGCTATCATAACAGAACCCCTCACCCAAGTGATGCTGTTTACGCATTCACTAACCAGCCATAAAGTGATGTTTTAGGCTATTTCCCCCTTATTGGCTCATGCCACAATGAAGTTAGCATTCTAAGGTGCAAAAGGCAGTAAAGAGGAAATGGAGCATTCAAAAGTGCTAGTCTTAATTCTTCACGATCTATAAAAGTTGTCAGTAACTCCTTCACATCATCTATAGACGTTTCAACCAGTCCATCATAGATGTAAAGCCTCTTTTTTTGAATGCGCAGCCGTCCTGTCAACAGGGCATTACTTACATTCTTTCGCTTACGGCACCTCAAAACTACACCTTGGTAGGTCGACCCCAGACGAGAAGTTTTCCTAATGGGACGTGAAGCGTCAGCAGTGCTTCCTCCCTTCGCAAGGGACAAAGACTTAGTTACATATCTCGACCACATCAGATTTAACATCTAGTTTTATCCTTATTGACAAAAACAAGAGACCTTGCGTGCTCTTCTTCAGAACCTTTTCTCGGTCGCTGTGGACATCAGCATAGCCTCAGATACAGACTTGGAGAATTTCTGCAACGCATTGACCCAAATCACCATCTATTCTCGCAGCAGGAACAGGCTTTACTAGGAGAGATCTACCGCAGTGATCAAACGATAGAGGAGGACGACAATTACGTCTTCTGCGACTTACCACCAGCAAGAGTCGGATGTATAGTCGTCCACTTTAGACACTGAATTCGTCCACACATTGTATCAGACAAACTCCGCAGTAAAGTCAACAATGAGTTGGTGAATTTCGGAGCGAAGAGACGGCAGGAGCTGCTTACGATGGCATCACGTTGCAATAACTCCAATGATCGATTAAGTGAAACATCATTCCATCGATGCCATTTGTGTCCTGCCCCAGATCTAGATGATTTCTTGTTTTCCCCAACTTGATTGTTTTCGAAATACTTCCACTCATTCCTACAAACTTTGGGCAGCTTCAAAGGACGCTTATACGGTTTCCTTTGTGATTCTGGCGCAGCTTGGTCAATCGTACATTCTGAAACTTTCCCGTTCCTTGGTCAAAAATTGATTGTCGCACTGTGTAACAGACTAAAATTAATAGTAAGAAATGAGATTACAGTAGACAGAGAAACGCAATTTCATGTTTCCGCAAACAATAAAAATTTTGTAGAGAAGTCTTTTATCTGTGTAGTATTACCGTGGGATATGGTTTCTAGAATTGCTTTTCGACGTAGTGCCAAAGCTATTCTGAACTTTGCAGAAGCCACCTTTACCCACCAATAAAGGGAAGCCACAGCGGCTAGACCGTTCAGGAAACCACCCAGACGCGTACCACTTTCTCCACTAAAAGCAAACCGTCTAGTCGATGACATGCTCAAAGACGTGATTATAAGACTGCAAATCACTACGAATTATACTGATTGCTCTGGTAAAGGAAAAGGGTGGGGGAATCGGTGGTGCGTCGATTATAGGAAACTGAACGCAGCTATAAAGAAGGATGCCCTTACTCTACTCCATACTCATGATTCCTTGAACTACCTACATGAGTCAAAGTAGATACTGACAAATAATGGTGGTGGAAACAGATAGAGTAAAGATGGTTTCCCTTATATCCAATGCCCATTATGAATTCTAAGGGATATCCTTGCGCCAATTTTTAATGTCTTATGCAAACTACTCTGATTGCATCATTCCTAGAACATTAATATTTCAAAGTAATATACTCTTTTTTACTGGAGATATTCAAAAACCCAATGCTAATTAAAAATGAATAGTGCATTACCTGCAAGAAGCGGGCTTGCACTGACTCCAAAGAAATGTCAGTTTCTGCAACACTTGGATGATCTTATAGCATTGTCAGAAAACCGCATGAAGCAAGTCAGAATCCGGCCAATACCAACCAATCAGAAGGATAGCTATAGTTTCTCAAGCTAAAAGAGAAGTCACTTCAGGCGTTTCGTTAAAGGTTTCGCCAGGATCACAATCCAGTTACATAAACCCGCGGAATAGCAGGGAAAGAAATATGTCAAGCGCCAGTAAGAGCACAATGAATTGTACAAAGAACCGGAGCAAATGGTGCTTGCCACACCAATTCTGGGACTATTTAATTTCAAAATCAAGTACCTCGCGCTTCGTTCTAGACATTGACACTAGCGATACAGCTTGTAGATGGTGTACTTCTATAGAAGGACGGCAAAGATCTGGAACAAGTTATCACATTCACGAGAACCTAACTCAATGACCAGAAGAGACCGAAGAGTGGCACCCAACGCGACCTGTTCCCTGATAGCGAGGAAGTTTATGGTAAGAATCGATACTCAAGCATTCTTAACTTCGGCAAAAGTACCTCTGGAAATGGCGAAGTAATGCCTAGGATTAAACCCAAATCATAATTCATCTACTCAAGCATGGTTCTACTCTGTTAGATGTCTCCGGCACCATCCTGATTGATCACACCCATTCGTCATATGATCGCCAAGTTGTCACGTATATGTTCCCAGAAGTTTGCCCTCTCATCGCATATCCAACCATCTATCTCACGAAGATGAAACACTTCACCGAATCTTACAAAGTTTTTCTCCATTCTGTCGCTGACCGAATGCGCTTAACCAAGTACCCTCTTCTTCGAGATTTAATAGCTGAGCTAGCCGCAACCTTCGTTTTTGTCGCTTTCGGTACAGGTGTGGCAGCCCAAGCTCAACTTGATAAACCCTCTTTCGGTGGAAGCATAAATATCAGCTGCGGCTACGCCGCCGGCTGGGCTCTGGGAGTAATCAACGCCAGTTCTCGTTCCCCGGGGATGTGCAATCCATGCGTTGCATTTGCCAACGCACTAATCGGTTGGTTAGACTTTCTGACAATGCTCCTTTTCTGGTTATCCGAGCTGAATGGTGCGATATTGGGCTACTGAGAAAAGGTAATGAATTATTAGAACATATATAACTGTGGTTTGTTGAATATGAACTCTACAGGGACGATTCTTGCCATTATCGTGAAAACGACGATTAGATCGTTGTGCGATTGACAGGCAATCACGGGAATGTTTACACTTACAGCAATAATAGCTATTTTGGACAAGAATAATTGGAATTTTTCTAAAGTCTACGTGATTATTTATGCGACTGTGATTCAATTTCTAGCGTTTGATGACTTCACTGCCCAAACTACATCATCCAGCAATCCAGCATACGATCTTAATGGACGAAGAAGAGGGTAGCAAACAACATCTACTACTAGAAGTGAAAGCATTATTTGTGTATTTTGCATCCTCATTTCAGGCTGGGGTTCACCTCCATTCACCTACGCGAATCATGCTTTCTGGGTGTTCCTTGTGATGCCGTTCGTTGGAACTGTTTGCGTCGTTTTGCTCTACGAACGCGTGGTTGGTGTCCACCTACCGGGAGCTGGACAGGATGAGGGACCCTTGAAAATTAAACATGATGATGATTCAAACGTTTAGACAAATCAAGAGGATACACAAACTTGGATTCTTTCATAAGAATTGGGTTTGACCAGATTACACATTCGCATCTATACGTACTTGTACATGCTTTTATAAGGTGAAAAGGCAAGCACAGTACCAATGTCTTGTTATGTGCTTTTGTAAAAACGTACAGGAGGGCTAGGAGTCTAAAAACGCGGACTACAGAACATAATCAAGGCCATATGTGAGGACTGCGTAGAGGTCATAATGCAACAGACCAAGTGTTCCTGTCTCTATCTTGTCTAAACCGTTACCCTCCGTTTTCCCAGTTGCTGTTACACGCACATTTGTACAACACTAGTGCTTGCGTGGGCAGATTTCTTGGAACCATCCACATGCCAGTCAGCGAGACATAGGAGGGGGGTGTGATGTAGTGTATAATTTACGTGATTTTCAATGAGCCTCCTTGAGCCAACTATCCCCTTTTGTTTGGCAAACTGCACGTTCGAAGTGGAGCAGAAGTTCGGATAATGCTAAAAAAATGTGAGAAATGGAAAGATCAGATAAGGGTGAGTAAATTGAGAGTTTGAGGTTTATGAGTAGACGCATGAAAAGAATAGTCGAGATTGTCTGATTCCGAAATGACTAGATTGATTAGTAGTCACCACAACGGGTCTAAGCTAGATTCCCTCTTAGAGGTGAATTTAAATTTACCTCGTACAGCATCAGGTTTAAATTACAACTTTTATAACATTTTCCAGAATATCTAACCCCTATTCAGCCAATCGACCGCAAGGAGTCGGTTTAGCGTAACACTAGACTGACGATTGGGAATTTCCGCCCTTGTCAAAACCATTGCGATATAAACTAAAATGTTATGCTCATTGTCAGATCTATCCACATTCTGACTTTTATTGTCTCATCGCGGTCCTTTCAGTCACACCACCTTGCCACACCCAGTGAAGCAGAATTTGTAAGTGGTTGGGTGTAATGCCACTGATAGACATTACTGAGTGATAGACACTAGTCAATGCAGGGAATACAATGAAAAACCTCACACAGAATTCGACAAGGTCTTGGAAAGTAAGCACACAACTTACGAACTTTAGTAAAAAATGTGAGATTAATAGGTATTTCAGTTAATCAACTTCAACTTAGAGAATTTGGTAAATCGGTCAACTGTAGGATCCCGATCGTCTATTCAAACGAACTTCCCCTTTAGGAGGTTGTTAAGCTGAGGCATTATATATGTACGCCTAGACTCAAAGCACTGTTCAATGACATGAAAGCAGTAATTATGCTAAAAAGTACGAGTCATTAAATACTAGGTCGTAATTATCTTCACCCAAATGATCTCACTGGCCCGACACCCCCTATAAATTAAGAATAAAGTAGCAGATTTCGCCTAAAAATCCCATTAAAATAGGAGGACACTACACGCTGTGGTAATGTGAGATCTACAAATGATCAAAGTTATATGACTAAATATTGGTTTGTTCCTCTTCCTCCGCCCCCTCCTCCACCTCCTCGAGGGTGGAAGACATTTTCTTAATCACATTACTGAGGAGGCTCCGAAGTTGCACGATATGCATAGGGACAAGTGAGCTCCCATTTCATTGCCATCCAAGAATTGGTGAGATACACATTGGAAAAGGGGAGATTTAACAGGTCAGTGAGTATGGCACGAGGAATCAATTTCGCTAGTTGTGAAGATGCACCATTGGCTTCTCCTTTGTTGAACAGTGCAAGTTATTTAACTTAATCATTTACTTACCGAAGGACAACGCCAAACAGATTGCTCTAAATGCCAACTGTGAGCTACATGAAACGTAAGATGATATCTTGTCATAATGTGAGAAAAGAATAATGTGCAAATTTACACTTTCTTTTTGTAAGAAGTGTTTGGGTTCACCGCAGCATACACTTATCATTAGTACCGATGCTTTATGCATAAGGTGAGGTGTGGTAGCACTTGACCAAAAAGGTCATGAAGTTTACTGCGTGGTTTGCTGTTAAAAATTGACGATGACGTGTGATAACCTGTAGGCAATAACAGACTGCTTATCATTGTTTGTATACATGCATTCTAAAGAGTAAGTAGGTAGGCTTTACTCCACCGGTTTGCCATGTCCCGTTCGTTTTAAGCCTCCTCTCACACTGCGTCAGTGTGTTCACTGTATCCATTGCACCTATTTTATCGATTGAACTTAATTTAATTTCAGCTTGCCTTCTTCCCAGTCTGAACATAATTTGGTGCCTTGACTGTAACAACTTTCTCTAAAATTGGTTGTTGCGGAGCATTTGGAGAAGGTAGGGGTTGACTGTGAGGCGCCATCTTACCGTTCTGGCTCATGATGGATTACGCCTCCATATGGAATAAAAGAATTTAGGGATAACGCATGGAGAGCTCTATTCACTCATGTCTAAAGCTTAGACAACCGAACGCCTCATATCCTATTCTACAAGTTGTAGTAGGCCAGACCATTTATTAATTTCCTGTTTTTCTGTTCTTTTACTTACCTGATGAAAGTGCGTTGTAAACCTTGTTTTGATTTTTGAATAAACCGTTTACTTATTTGACTACTGACCGGTTTGCTTATGACAACTTTGGCTGCTTAACCAGAAGGAGGACGAAGTTTTCCTCGAGTGACTAATGGTTAACGTCAATCCCTGTCAGGCCAATGTAGTGTCAATGCAGACTGCAGAAGAGGGCGAAGAAAAAGAAGAAGAGGAGAAAAAAGGGCAAAGAGCGATCAGAGAAAGGAGGGAGTTGGACAATTTGTCGTAAATGGGAAATTGAGGAGACAAAATGCGACGACGGCAACAACAACTACGCCAGCATGATGATGGCGATGATGGTTGAATAGGTGTGGCTGGGTGTGGTAACACAATCATCGGTACCTTTGTTACCACTGAAATCCACACGTTCCCCAAAGCTGGACCTCGTGAGATGGGACGTTGCATTTTGGAGTGCGTGTTACCCTAGGTCCCTGCCAACGAGATTGTCACTGGTTTGCTATGAGTGAGGCCCACCTACCAGCCCGTATTAGCAGTTATTTATGCCAGGACTGATGTTGCACCTCCATCCATCACTCACTCTCTTCTGCAGTAACTACCGCCTCTGAATGTACCGGCTGCTTACCATTGAATTCACCTAGAGTAGCATCCAGCAGGCAGACCGCGGCGTAGCAAATGCGGGTTGGTGAGTCATAGCGGTACGAGTGGGTTGTATTGAGACAGCATCAAAGCCAATACAATTCGTCAGGGCCGCGATACACCCAGAAGTAGCTAGAGTGCCATTTTCTGGTCTGGAAGGGAAAAAAAGTGGCATGTGTTCGGCTCCGTAACAGCTCAGCCATTCCAATGTTTTGGTTCGTCTCTGCTGCAGGTATAAATACCTTGGAATTCGCCTTGGGCAAAGCGCTGAAGAAAAAAAGATGAACGCGCACCTCGATTGGGATGAATTTGCGTAAGTTTTCTCGAATAGCTCGTAGCCAATTGCCCTGTTTCAGTTCGACTCAAACGACTTACCAAATGTGGCAGAGTATTTGCTGGCGTAGTTTCTGCACTCATAAGGGAGGAATCGTTAGATGTCGCATGTTTAGTTAGACGCGATTATTAGCCAAGTAATGTAGCTATGCCCTTCGGTAATGGCAAAAAATCGGCAGTGTGATGCTACTTTGGCTAGTTTTTCTAGGACTATTCACTGCCTTACAACAGTCTGACCCACTGGTCGGTCAAATTAGGTTTTGGTTTTTGATAGCTTAATGTTTGCTTTAATGCACATTTAGTTATTTACTCACCATAAGTTGTACCGACTCTATTTTGATGGCCTTCCAGAGAGTCATAGGAACTCCTAATCCTTTTTTGTTTCCCTAATAAATCTTCAATATCAATGCCACATGGGCAGCAGCGGTACTTGACCTCATTTTTACGGAACAATCATCCTGATTTCTTGGACTAATTACTAAATGTGATATTCGCTGTGGATGATCTACACCCATGATTCTTTACAAAAGGGCTAAAATGACATTCACTTTTGACAACTCTATAATTTTTGAGTTTAATGCACCAAGTACTTGTGGCAAAAGACCAGCCTTCACTATTATGTTATAAGGCCTTGAACGAAACAATTTACACCAAGATGTTTGTAAGCCCATGTAACCACAAAAATAGTTGGCATTCAAAATAGGATTGCTGAAGAACATAATCCACACTTTGGCATTGACACCCAAACCGATCCTTCCTCGATAGGTTCACCTTGGATTGACGCAACATTCAGAATTCTCGGGTGGATCTAAAGCGTGCGTACTACCGCTGATAAAGGAGATTGCATTCTCTATCTGATGCAATTTCTTCAACTTCGATTCGGTTTCGGGAGTGATTGCAGTCTCCAAAAATAGGTTACAGTTGAAGCAGAAGAGTGAAGATGGAGAGCGCCAGAGACGAAACCGAAAAGATGAGAGCTGGGTTGATTTCGTACTTGACATAAACCTTCACCCATATGGGCTCTTTAATCTGGGTAGGTTGCACTTCCATTTGGTGACGTGACCTTTTGACAATGCTTGTAGCCTCCCAGCCCTTCTTCACGTTAATTTTCTTCCACCCAACTAGGTAAGCCTTTTAGTTTAGGATTTAGAGGCAATGCAACGATGCAGTTTCAAGACAATGAAGACCTAATGAGGGGGCGGCGCTGAAGCGGAGCCACGACTGCACTAATTGCTTGCAGTAATCGGACTTTCTCGCCGCTTAATCTACGGCCTCCACAGTGGTGATATGGTACACTGCTACTGTTCTCTTACTTAACCATATCTTTGGAGGTAACTCCTCCGTTACACTGGTGGTAACGATAAGAGACGTTATAGGGATAGCTACTTCAATTTACGCTACAATGAAGATATCCGTCAAAATGTTTTAGACGAAGACG